TTAGAAGTGATGCAACATTCATGACCCAATTAAACCAAAAGCAGCAAGGCAGGTAAATCAATAAGGACAACCCTCCCAGTTTTGTTTGCACACTTCATACCAGGGTGTCCTCCTTGAAACAAAAGCTGAAATGCTACTGTGGAAACTGGGAATCAGCACTCCAGGAAGGTCACTCAGAAGCAGAATTAGCAGGAAAGCAATTAGGACATATGGATTGAGAATGCTGTCACCAACAGAGGAAAATCCTGCTCAGGCTATCCCTACATTGCTGCTGCTGCTGGATTTTGGGAGCACCATCACTGCAGACACAGCTGCACAGGAACAACCACAAGCCTGCACAAAAACTGCTGCCACCTCACAACAACCCCCATCTCAAGTCCCAGAGTGACGTATTAACAAAAAGAAGGAATGTGACTGGGAAGAGAAGAAACATTCCTGGCTCTTGCCTCCAGATTCCAAAGGACAAGTTACAAAGTGGAACATTTTTATAAATACACCAGCACGATTAGTGACAGGGAGAGAACACCTACACCAAGCCTTCCCAAAAGCACAAGTGTAGTCCCAGAGGCAAAAAGGAAACTCCTTCACATAATACCCATCAACCCTGGTTGCTGTTTATCCCTTACTGGTGACTCCTGGGGCAGAAACCCTGTGGCACAGTGGGGACCTGCCAGTGATGCTCCCCAGCACCCCCTGTGCCAGGACATGCCCTGCACACACCCAGCCTTTGGGTTTATCTCATGATCCACGCCCCAGGAACAACTGGGGAACCGCTGGGATGAAGGTGTGGCAGGGCTGAGCGCTGGAGCAGAGATTGGGCCAGGGGGCAGGGAGACAATAAAGCAAAATAGTGAAATAAGAGAGGGCAGGAGGGATGGAACCTGCCTGTCCCATCTTTCCAGGCACCGGTGAGGGACATTTGAAGCTGCAGACCAGCGTTCCTCCCATTCCTGGCTGCTCTAACCTGCCCCAGGATCAACAGCCAGGCCTGGACTGAGGCAAGACAAAGTCTGCAGCATGGAAAGAGCCCAGGGCACAGCTCCTCCTCTGAAGGAGGCACTTGGAAGGGTTTGCAGGCTTTGCAGGGGCAGCCAGGAATGCTCAGATCTAAACG